AACCTATAATGTTATTGTTTTCATGAACATTTTTTAAGCTTCAAGTGAAATACCTTGATTTGTTCAATTCTCTTGAATGGATATCATGCAATTCGCTGAACTATATGATTTAATACCAAACAAATAAATCAACAATATATTTTTTTTTAATAATGAACAAAATGCTTAATGTCTAACATTATTAATGCTTATGTTAATTGAACATCCTTTACTATAAAACGAACATTTTATATATCTGAACAAATACAAAAATTTATATTAATTAAAAAAGAAAATGAACATTAATTTTATAAGAATGAACATTATACGGCATGAAAATGAACATTTATTTTATAAGAATGAATATCGTACTACATGAAAATGAACATTTGATTAAAGAGAAATACAAACTTATTGTAAAATATATTCAGTTAGAAAATGTTCATTTTTGTTATGATAAATGTTCATCTTGATAGTAACCTCATAAATATATAGCTAGGCTCAATCTCAGCTATTAACGATTGCTGGTACAATGTGAAATTTATAAAATTGTACCCAGTACCCCCATACATCTCTAATTCACATTTTGGATAATCATAAGACGATTCATAGTTGAATATCATACCCATTCGAGACATACCTAATATTTCATAGGTTAAACACTGGAACCCTTCGCAAATCAACCCAATACTCATTTGCAGTGCTAAGCAAGTAAGCAGGCACTATAAGTTTATGAAGAGTTTGACTTGTTAATCGCAACATGCCAACATGTCATCCAAAACTAAACTTGAGTTAACTTTTACAAAAATAATTACAGAGTAATGAGAATCAGAAGAAAAAAAAAATTGGTACTTACTTAGGAGAGAGAAATCTAATAACTAGGTCGTGGTCATGACTAGGGGTCAGTGCTATCTCAGTCATTTTTGGGGCCCTAAGCGAAAAATAAAAATGAGCCCTAAACAGCGAAAGGTGTATCTCATACTAACTACATTTTAGCCAGGGTAATGTCTCGAGTCATTGCTTTGAATTTCAAAAATATATCAATTGTTTATTTTCGAAAATTTCATTAAACATCCAAATTCATTATTCGATGTGCAGCAACCTAACTTTTACATAAGTTTAATTTATTTGTGAAAATGATTTTATTTTTCAGTTGTCATAAAAATTCCTTAACAAACTAAACATATATTGTGCTTAATAGAAAAAACCTTTGAAATTGCTATGCATTTTTAAGTTACATATTTTAAATACATATAACTCATATAAGAATTATGAATGAATAAATGAAAGACTTGAGATTAATTTTGTAACCATATTATTGTTGAAATATACACATTTCAGTTGGCAGTTAAAATTTTAGAATTTACGAACACGAATAATACTTTTTAACATAACTTTATTGTTATAAGTTGTGCCATTGGAGCAGTGATTAAGTTTATTATCATAGGTAGTGTCATAAGTTGTGTTACTGGAGCTAGGGGTGAGCACTACCGGGTACCTGGTGTAAAACTAAAGACCCGGTCCCAAAACCGGTTAGTACCGGGTCTAAGATTTTGGAACCGGACCCGAAACTGGTAATAACCGGGTCCCAACATTTGAGATCCGGAACCGGAACCGGAACCGCTGGGATCTGGTTCCAAAACCGGGTACTCGGTTTGATATGTTGCGTTTCTAGCCATTAAATAAAAAAAAAAATAAAAAAAAACTTGAACCCATAGAAAAATTCCAGCCACCAGCCTTAAACCTGACCAATGCCAACACTTGAACATCGAATTTGACGCTACCTCTAAAACGATCATCCTTCAATTTTTTCACTGAATCTAATTCAAGGTAAGTAGAGGAAGCGACAAGCTGAGCATCCATGGTGGTCACATTCTTAGTCCCGAGGTACAGCTTGATTTTTTCCGTCTTTAACATCAAATTCACAAAGCCCGTAAAAAATTCTCTAAAGAATTGCTTGCGGCGATAGCTCGACGGTGCCTCAATTGTTGCTTGCGGCGATAACTCGACCGGGTGAAAGAATATGATGATGAGAAACGGGTGGAAGAAGATAGAGACATAGAGAAGAAGATGAAGAGAAGGGAAAGAGGAGAGAGAAAGCAGAGAGGATAAAGGAAGAAGGAGGCGGCTGGTTTTATGTTAGGGTTTGCATTTTAGGGCTGTATAAGTTTATATATATCGGCTTAAAAAAACTTAAAATTTATAATTGAACCGGGTACCCAGTGGGTACCGGGTCCGAAATTTTAGGACCCGGTCCCGGAATCGGTTACAACCGGGTCCGACATTTTGGACCTGGTCCCGGAACCGGTGAGACCAGTTCCAGGTCCGGACCTAGCGGGTCCTAACCGGTTCCGGGTCCGATACCGTGTACCCTGGGTCTTTGCTCACCCCTAACTCGAGCAGTGGTTAAGTTTAATTTTAATGAGTGTGAGGTCATGGGTTCAAATATCACTGCCAACAAATAACAACTTTTTTAGTGAGGAAACATTGGTTATTGATTGTAGTAAGATAAAATTTGCATGTTGTGGGTAGATGAATCTTCCTCATAATTATCTATTTATTATTAAAAAAACTCACTTTTTAAAGGATTTTGGCTACTTGAAGCTTTGTGATCAACGCGGGGCCCATTAAAAGGGGGGCTTTGAGCCGTCGCTCGACCAGCTCCCCCTACTAGCCACCCCTGCTAGGGGTGTTAACGAGCCGAGCCCGCTCGAGACTTGGCTTGAGGGGTTGATGGCTCAGTTCGAAAGATCGAGTTTTTTTTTGTGATAATAAATAATTATTAGCATAAACTTTTCTTCATATTTAAGGCTTAGGACTAAAATTACATCAAAACTCTATTGTTGATGATTTTTTGTTATTGTTTATAAAGGAGAACTAAATAAAAAAAAAATAGAAAGGAAAGTAATAGTCCCACATTGAAAGATAGGAAAAAGGGATAGAATATGAAAGCTATAAAAGTGAACTTTGATCGGCATTTGAGAAGCAATGACTATGGGCACTTTTTGGGCCTTTGTTAGATGGGCTAAATATCAAAGTCCCTAAGCATCGAGCAGAGCCGAGCCAAGTTCAGCCTCGAGCCAAACCGAGCTGAGGTTTTAGGAGTCTCGACGCTTAAGGAGTATTGAGCTCGAGCCAAGTCGAGCTTAGCCTTAAAAAGTTTCGAGCTCAAGTCGATCCCCAATTTTTTAGGCTAGATGAGCTTCGAGCTCGAGCCGAGCCTACCAAGGCTCGGTCTCGGCTCGCTAACACCAGCCATGACCTTTGGCCAAGGATGGGTAAACAATATGAAAGTGCCACTTGTCATGGTATGATTGGGCCATTATTATATTTTTTTTAAATTGATCGTAAAGTTGAAAGGAAACAAATAGAAGTGTATGGACATAACTGGGCATGGTAATTGGGCATAAATGAGGTGAAAAAAGAGATACTTATAAAAATAAATAAATAAATTAATGACCACCATTGGCCATTGGCTTGGGCAACCAATGACTTTTCTTAATCTAATTCATTTTTTCTTTCCACCTTAAAACAAAAGTTATGGCCAAAATTTAACACTTATACTGATTAATTGAATTTAATTATGGATATATTTATGTGTACTATGTAGCCCTTAGAGCTAAGAAATAAACATTTAATTTCCTAATTTTATTTATATAGGAATGCATGATAAAATCACGTATAAATCCGTGTAATTAATGTTATATTTTCATTTTTTTTTTCTATTTTTAACTCCTTACATGTAGCCCTAAGGGCTATGTATGTCATTTTCCTTTAATTATTTAGAAAGATACACAAAGATGTTACAATAGGTTTTTAAAATATTAGAGATTCTTTCCAGTTTGAACAAGTTTTAATTGAGCATAATATGCGTGCTCCGTAAATATACAAGTGGTTCAAACTTGGTTGATCAACTTAATTACATACTTTTATCCCCTTTTAACTCTTTTACATTATATCTCACTAGCTTGAGTCAATATTATGAGTCAACCTCTCATTTTTTTTTACAATGTGGAACCAGCTCACTACAATTAAAACAATTGTTTTATGTTAAATATGGGCAAAAATTGAATGAAAATGCAAAAATTTGCCACTTGTCATCTTCCTCTTTATCACCGGGGTCGTGGGCTGAGATGGTCACTGACTTGGAAGAGGGATGAGCCTTACCACAAAAGCTCTTGACAAGTACCTATTACAATGGTGAGCTAACTTAATATAGGAGAGAGAATGTTGTGAAGAGGATGTAAATTTATATCTATTTCTTTTATAAAACTTTACCACTTTTGAAGTTGATGATGTGGCACCTCATCATTGGCCAAAAAAAAAAAAAATTCAATTCGATATTGTCAATTTTGTTGAGTCGGTCTTCTCAAGAGTTCCTTTCAAATGCATATGTAGTCTTGCACCACTTTATTGCAAAAAACTCAATCTTGTATGTAAGTCTTACTCAAGACTCACCAATAAACTTACCTTTTTTTTTTTAATCCCTATTCCTAGAACTAGGATTCCTAGTTCATGTCTTTTACATAATTGGATCAACTTATGATGACAGTAGAAGCATGCCTTTGTTTTAGATGTACATTATTTTCTTTGATAAAAAGTACTTGCATGAGTTTTGGGGCAGTTTGGAGCTACTTTTGATCACGGGAGGATAAAAAAGAAGAGTAGCTTGGTCTTTATATAATCAATGTTGGCAAGAAGCCAACAATCATAATTGAGGTGTCCTCACAAGATGCAGAAGACAAATGAGACTAGCAAGCTTGGAACACAAACAGGCTACTCTTAACAAAGACGTATAAAAGATATCAGAACTGAAGAAAATGAATTGACATGTCCCAATTAACTTCTTGTTAGTGAGTTTATGGATGATGGTTCAATTAAGGAGCAAAATAACAACAATCAACTCAAAAGATAAGATGTTTAGTAATAAAAGCGTGGTGCCGTGGTGTGGAAATGGAAAGAAGATATGGGTGACTTACAGCACAAATCAAAGAATAAACTGGACCGCAACATACTATTGCTAGGAGCAGAAATGAACACCATATATCAAAATTCAGGTGGTCTCTGGAAATTATAAATATCACCAAACAAGAAAACCAGTTCTACAACAGCTTGTATTTGTGTGAAGCGATTTCTTGAATGTATACATAGCTAATTAGGCTGCAATCCCGTAATGTTATTGTTCCCCTTCGTCGTAATTCACAATAGAAAGCGCTAACAAATATTTTTTATATACTAGTCAAAATTTTCGTAACAAGTTTTCTGCTTGTAACTACAAACAGTTTCTTCAATCACTAGGTTCTTCATCAGACTCTGTGAGATCCTCATCTGAATCTGACTCTGTGAGATCTTCATCAGATTGAAACTGATGACCTTCCCCTTGTTGGGTCTTTGATCGAAATTCCTCCATTAATTCATCATCTGTGTCATCATGTTTACCGCTCAACTTCCTAGCTAGTATGCCTTCAAAAATGGAAGGAAGAACCTCCATGTCACCTTTCAAGTACCTGTCAATTCTGTGCTTCAGCTCTGGCCATAGATATGCGTCAAGAGGATGATGTAAGATACGTAAACACTAATCTTCAAAACATCAAAGTAAGGTTTCACAATCCACTTGCTGCACGCGAATTAGTGAGAGCTAGAGAGATATATACTTGCTAGTTGATACCAGATTATTGAATGATAAGAAAATCAACAGCAATATATTGCTTTATGGTCCATCATAGCCTCACACTATCTACAGTAGTCAAAACTTAAAATGAGCATTGGTAAAAGATAGGGTATTGAACATGGTAAAGATAATTGCTTCATTTATACCTATTGAAGGACCTGATGACACATACTCAATACTTTTTAGTTGCAACACGTACCTTTTAAACATACAACACATTAGTTGCGAAAATTACAGTATTTGGCAACTTCTTTACTTTAAAATACCAATAGTATCCTAATATATCAGATTGGTTCTCTCCTGCCTCATCATTTATCCAATTATCCCTTTCAGGCTTACACCAACCACCACTAGTCCTGTAAGCAGCATCAACACCCCCCCCCCTTCCCCAATTCAACCCACCCTGAGCAGCCAATTACTTCTCTCTCCACTGTAATCCTTTAATCCATCAGTTAGGACTAAGCTAGACGGCCAAATAAATACTAACAGTTCCAGGTGTCCTCACCACAGTACACATAGATAAATAGGGAGAGGAAGAATCACATATCCCCTTCCCAAAACTAGTGACGAACAAATGTGGGCAGTTATTGGTCAACTTCTGGCAAATAGCAATTCTAGATAACCAACTCCAGCAATCCATGAGCACATTTTGGCAGATTAAAGATGGGCATATTTAATTGTCTCTTGCTTGCCAGATGAGGGATTCAGATTGGAACTCTGTGGAGGATTGTGGTGTCCTGGTGGGTGAAAATAGAGGTTGGGGTGGTGCCGCTTGATGCCTGTGGTAGGAGGGAGAGATTGGTTCAGGTATGGAGGGGTGGCACCCGCAGTCAGGGAAGGGAAGAGAGTATGTGGGCAATTGATAAGCCTTTCTACTTTCTCTGTTATTGTACGTGGTTTATGGTCCATTCCTTTTGTTGCAACTAAATTAAAACGGAGGAAGTAACACACATAATACTATGCTCAAATATCTAAAAACTATAGATATATAGTCATCTAAAAATTATTGATAAAGTGATTTAAGAACTGGAGTACAAAAATATTATGCAAAAGTTTAAGCTATTACTTACCCTTCATAAAGACTTAACATGTTGCAATTACAAAAGTTGTTCTGTAGCTTATAAATTAAAATATACACTATGTTGATTTGTTGGGGTTTTTAAAGATTGAATTTGACTATAAAGTCATATTCTTTTGTACTGAATACAATTTATTGACCCAAACACTCAAGTGAATTAAAAATTTAGAAAATGCAATAAATCCAAAAGATTGGATCTAATTCTCAATTTCCAATCAAGCTTATTCCGTACCTTTTTTTAAAAAGGCGAGTATGAAATTTTCATTCCACATTTCCCTAATATGGGTTCTTAACACATTGCATTTCTACTTGATATATATATAACTTGTACTCAATTACTGACTCGCTTATATAGATATATGTTCTTTATTATACCATATAAAAAACTAAACTAAGTTTGTTTCAGTGAATGACAGTCAAATGTTCAGTGAAACATTTTTATATTCAAGGTTTTTTTTTTTTTTTTTTATTTTTTTTTTATTTTATTATTATTATTATTATTATTATTTTTGTATAAATTTAATTCAATTACGGATATAGATCCTCTTACGATTTAGGTGTTTTTAACAAAATTCACTTAAATTTATGATTTGCTTGTGAATTCAAGGAATTAGTTACAAAAAAATTTATAGCTCAAGCACAAACTTATGGCACCATAATAAAATTACCATAAATTATAGCATGATTTAATTAGTAGAATTTTTCAAACTTAGAACATAAAATAGAATCAAGGAATCATTTGAATAAAAATAAATATAAGCGAAAAACAACATCATGACTATGATTTATTATTACCAAAAGCCACCAATTTTCAATTCCTTATGAATCTATCACTCAAATTAAATATACTTTACGGATAATGTCTACGTTTATGATAGAATTTAAGCGTATGCAAAAGTTTAATATTCCAAATATGATACAATCAATTTACATTATCATATATTACATATAATTAATTACATTCCAAATTGTACAACATTTTGGTGGAAGACTTGTATTTCTAATTTGTGAGACCTCATTTCTCTCACTCTAATCTTGGCGAATACTTCCATCACTATATCAATTTTGTAGTAGCTCTTAGCTTTAGTGGAAGACTATTGTTGTCCACTTTATATCATACATACACATAGCATATATTTATATTGGAATATATTGGTTCTTTGTTCCACTATTCTTGCACTTGTTAGTTCGAGATTTTTCTTCTTACAACTAGATTTCTGTTCTCTACAATTTTTTTACAAGATTTTTCCATACACTAAAAATTCCAGATTATTCTTTATTATTCTAGACAATTATAAACACTAAATTTTTCTAGATTACCATATTTCAACAGTAACCATTTCCTAATAATTGTTTTACATAACACTATCGGCAATGCACTTTGTTGTATACATGTATATAGACTAATAGACCTCCATTTGCTATTCAAATTACTGAAAGCAAAAGGAAACTCACATTCGAGCACAGTACCTCCAGGTCCTCCACACTACTAAATATATTTTAGTATAGAAATTACTAATATCATCTTTCAGAAACAGACTTACTAGTGTTACTACTTTCTAGACACCCAACAACATTTCTAGTTTTAGATACATAACAAACGTAGGAAAAGGGAAACACCACTTATATTTGTAGTGAACTAGTATAGCCTTACATTAATTTCCGAAGTTCAATTCAACTTCAATAGCATCACTTCCAACATCTTAAAACATTATTAAGAAGTTTCAATGTAACAAACCACAATACATCCACAAGTTCAAAACTTTCAAGAATATTCACAAGATTATAGATTCAACGAAACATATTTTACATCAACGAAACTTATTTCACACATTAGTATTATAATTATACTATTTGCATCCAAAAACATGAACTTCAATTCAATCAGAATCAAAAGTATTCAACAAATTAAAATTGAAAGTATAAAAAATGTACCAGTAGACCGGTAATGCGATGAAAAAAAGAGATTAATAGATTAATTTATTCATCCAGTTGTTTAAGACCGGCAATTTTATTCAATTTATGTATTGGAAACTATAAGACTTCTCATTTACAGGGGCAGAGAGAGTTCACCATATGAAGCAACAATAAATTACGATACAAATTAGAAAATTATATATCAAAACTTCGAACTTCAAAATGCAAATTACGAATGAAGACTATAATCGCATTTGCAAAAGATTCGAAAAAATCAAATCGAAGTTGAATTTGCAGGATTATTATATTGCTCCCCTTGACACGTTCATCGGAATCGAAAAAAGCCGACTAACGCAACGCCTCGGAAAGCAAATTGAAAATTGATGAACAACAAAATTCTTACCAAAACAAGAATAAGGGGCCGTTTGGTTCGCTGTAATGGGAAAAGGAAATGGGAATGATTTCCTTTGTAAGTGTTTGTTTTGTATCTTTTGTCATTCCCATTCTCCATTTTTATTTTTGAGTTTATCCAAAATTGTTCTAAAGTCATTCCCCACCCTCCCTACCTTTTCCATTCCCTTTCCTTAGCCACCCCTCCACCACCACACACACTACCCACCACCCTTTTACCGTACCCCCACCACTCAACTGCCATCCAGTCGCCCCTTCCCCGACCATCGCCGCCCCTTCCCCGAGCATCCCACCGTCCAACCACCACCCAGCTACCCTCGCCGCACCTCACCTTCCTCTCGTCGCCCTTCTTCGCCGCCCAAAAACCCCACCCTCCCGCCCAAAAAGAACCACCAAAAGAAGAGGGGAGAAAACATGAAACTGAATGTGGAAGAAGGCGAAATTAGTGATGGTCCACCTCTGCGAGCTCAATCGAATATTAGACCCATAAATGTTGAAGGTATTTCTTCGATTAATTTTGGGAATCTTGATAATCTTGATGATCTGCTACTCTCGCCATAACAATCGATGCATGAATTGATTCAAGGTTCAAGAACAAAGTCTCGATTGGGTGTAATTCATTCGAAGGAGAAGATTGATGAAATAGTGAAAATATTAGTACTTCCTCTGAGTTACCTATCTCTTCCTCCTCTAAGAATTTTCTACAATTTTCAGTTGATGATGTTTCAGATGAAATTACATATTGGAATATGGGTATTGTTGCATTTGTAATTTGGGGTAACCCATTTCTTAATTCCTTTACTGGGGTTTGTCAAAGAATTTGGGGGGGCGAAGAACATAGATAAAGTAATTCCACTTAAGAGAGGTGCTTTTCTTATTAGATTTTTAAATTTTGAATCTAAGTATAAAGCTCTAAATTTTGCTCACTTGATGTTTGATAATCGTCCTGTATTTTTCAAACAATGGGTTGATGGGATGGAAATTGATAGTACCGAGTTTACTCGATTTCTAGTGTGGGTTCAATTACCTGACCTTCCTCTGAGGTTTTGGGGGGAGGGTGGGGTTTTTGGGCGGCGAGGAACGGCGGAGATGGGTGGGGGAGGTGCGACTAGGGGCGGCGACTGTGACTAGGTGGTGGGCTGGCTGGGTGATGGCTGGAAATTTGAAAGAATGAGTTGTTTGTGTGGCTGTGTGGTGGTGGACCGGTGGCTCCATTCCTTTTATTTTTTTTAAAACAAAAAACATACTACTTGAAAAGATTTTTCATTCCATTATCTTTTATTCCATTTGTTCATTCCATTTCGATTACCCCTACGAACCAAACGGCCCCTAAAATCAAACACATAAATAGAACTCAATTATTCGTGGTACTCAAATGATAATGTCATTATATAATACTTCGTAAACATCAAGTTATGGTATAAAATTGTTCCATATTCTTCTGGGATTCCAATAAACATAAAACGAACAAATTCAACTTCAATTGATTTTCAATAATGTAAAAGAAAAAAAAAATAAAAAAAATACAAGATAATAAAATGAAAAGTTGGGAATCACCTTGAGTAGTGACATCAGTGGGTATATCGTCAATAGAAGAAGATTCTGGAATATCATTACTGCTTTGGACCTCAGAAGGTTTAGAGTGAGAAGAGGACTGAGATGAGGAATATTGGCGCAAGAATGCAGAAAAAGAGGAGAGAGAAAATAAAGGTGAAATTTCAGGTTTACAAAATGATTTGGGAATGGAGTTAAGTTGGATATTACTGAGTCTACGGAGGAGGAGTAGTCTATTCATGGCGGCTTTCGTTGAGACTTTTTTTGGTAGGCTCCAATTGTTTCGCCGGAAACAAGTGCAAATTTTGGGTGAGTTTGGGGTAGAAATTAGCCAGTTTATAAAACACTATGCCCTAATTTATGAGAAAATAAGGTTTTTTTTTTTTTATTTTTTTTTTCAGAAAAACAGATGGCGTGCCTTATATTAATTGATTGTCCATCAATACATATGGGGAGACCTCACAAAGACTATGGTTCTCTCAAACTTGTTCAAAACCAAAAGACACTATACGGGCTAAATGATGAGGTACAATATTCCCATCTCGTTTAACATGACTCCAAACGATAGAATTAAAAGAACTACAAGATTTCAGCACATCTTCTAGCAAATTATCAAGATCAGTGAGAAAGATTGAGCCCTTGCTAAACCTTCCAATCATTACCTGGCAGTCCGACTCCACCACTACATCCCTAAGGCCATAGCGTTTTGTGAGTCTCGTGGCCATTGCAACAGCTTTGCACTCTGCTATAATGGGCTGCCAGAATGCTTTTGATCGTCTGGTCGCTGCAAATAAAATCTCCCCACGCAAATTTCTATCCACCACACCAAGCCCCACCCATCCATCATCACTGATAGACGCATCACAATTAAGCTTGAAAACCCCTTCCGAAGGGGCAACCTAAGTTTTGGGGCTACTGCCCTTAGCTCGCACCACACTATAAATTTTCTCCGTATTTGATATGCATTCACTCGCATGACACTGCACTCTATCCACGATCACAGGGTGATAAGTTTCAATCCCTTGGAAAATCTTCTCGTTTCTTCTCCACAAGTACCACATTAGTATGGCGCCCTTACATCTTTTCTTCGAGCTTTGCTTGCTCCACTCTTCAAAGAAATCTAGAAAGGATACCTCTTGCGGCCAAACAACAAGTTCCTGACATTCACATTCCACCCAAAGATCCTTAACGGTGGGGCATTCAAAGAAAACGTGCTTGTTTGTTTCAGGGCATTCATGGCACCATGGACAATTCTCAACATCGGATATATGACGGTACTTGAGGTAGTTTCAAACCAGCAAAATACCTGTACAAATTCTCTAGAGGAAATGACGCACTTTTGGAGTGACTTCTAGCTTCCAAATGTCCACCCATGTTTTGTGAAAGTCGTCTAGATTACACGACTTTCCTAACATGTATGCGATTTTAACCGAGTAGAAACCGTCCATAGAGAAAGCCCAATAAACTGAGTTTACAGAGCTGTGAGAACTCAAAGGGATAGAGAGTATACTACGAGCATCAATTTCATTAAATTTATCGGAGATAGTGGCTTCCTTCCATTCTCGACTATCATGATCAATCAAATCTGCTACCTTCTCAAGGCCTTTCATTCTTGGGGAGGAAATGAACCTGCTAGTGCTGCTATCAATCCACGGATCACACCATATGTTGACAGCCGTACCATTCCTAATGCGCCACAAGAGACCCTCCTTTAGCAAAGCCTTTAAGGACCAAATGTTTTGCCAAGAATAGTTGCCGCCATATCCCAAGCTCGACTCTAAAAAGCTGGAATTCGCATAGTATTTAGCACCCATGACTCTATTAAGAAGTGAGCTCGGAAATTTATTTAAACGCCAATCTTGCCTTCCTAGGAGCGCTACATTAAACACATGCAAATCCCTGAACCCCAAGCCTCCCAAACATTTTGGATTGCATAAGTCTCCCCATTTCTTCCAATGAACCTTACGATCTTCTTCAATGCTTCCCTATAGAAATCTTGCCATCATAGAGTGAATGTCACTAATAACACTATGCGACAATCTGCAGACTCCCATGAGATAAGTGGGAATTGCTTGAATCACAGATTTTAGAAGAACTTTTTTTCCGGCACGAGAGAGTAACCTTTCCTTCTACCCAAGTTTCTTCCAGATTCTATCTTTAAGATCCATAAAAACCATCCTCTTCGATCTTCCAATGATGGTGGGAATACCAAGATATTTCCCATGAGTATCTACTCTTCTCATTGCCCAAATCTCAAGTAATTCCTCTTACGTTGATGTACTAACATCCTTGCTAAAAGAGACCTCTGATTTGTCATAGTTAATTTTCTGTCCGGAAGCTGATTCATATGTGTTGAGAATTTCAACAATTTTTGAGCATTCCTTTCGATTGGCTCTTGCAATAAGAAGACTGTCGTCAGCAAAGAGTAAATGAGAAACTTCAGGGCCTTTCCGACTAGCTCTAGCACCGTAAAGGGAACCTTCACCCATAGCTTTTCGTATAAGACTAGAAAAAGCATTAGCATCAAGAATAAAAAGATACGGAGATAGAGGGTCTCCTTGCCGTAGATCCCGGGAAGGAGTGACCGAACTACATACCCCACCATTGACGATAAACGAATAAGAAACCGAAGTAACAAAATCCATTACTGTCGATACCCATCTTCCTACAAACCCATTTTTAGAAATTTTTTTTTAAGAAAATTCCATTCTATTCTGTCGTAAGCTTTGATCATATCCAATTTCATCGAAACCAATCCTTTCTTCCCCTTACACCTCGTTTTCAAAGTATGAAAAAGCTCCAGAGCAACTAAAGCATTGTCTGTAATTAATCGACCCAGAACAAATGCACTTTGATTTTCTGAAACTACTCTAGGGAGTATTCTTGAGCTCCATTACAATAGCCTTAGAGGCTATTTTATACAAAATCCATTACTGTCGATACCTATCTTCTTGCAAAGCCCATTTTCAGAAAAAGTTTTTTAAGAAAATTCCATTCTACTCTGTCGTAAGCTTTGCTCATATCCAATTTGATAAGCCGTGTTTTGTGCATAATTGTTAGCCTCTTTTTAGTTGTTCTTATTAGTCTAGCTTAGTATTTTAGTTCATTTTGGTTTGATTTGGTTTAGTTTCGATGATTCGATGCTTTTATGGGTAGTTTCGTTGTTTTTGATGTATTTCAGGATTCACGAAGCTAATTTAGAGATTTTATGAAGTCATGAGACTAAACCGAGGCCCACGGACCTTCACGAAGCTCGTTGGTCGAAGAACGAGTCACTTAGGCCTTTTTGGAGTCAAGCACGACCATGTTTAAGAGAGGCACGCCCATGCCCTGCTTAGGCACGTCCGTGCCTGAGCCTCATAAACTGAGGGAAATTCTCTGGAAGTGAGACATATCCGTGTCTCATAGAGGCACGTCCGTGTCTGTGCTGCTGCCTTCGAATCTGCATATGTGGCACATCCGTGCCCAATATAGGCACATCCGTGCCTGGAGTCCAGAAGATGAGAAAAACCTTACTCGAAGTGAGGCACGTCCGTGCCTCTTAGGAGGGTTATGCGCTGAATTTTCTTACGTTTTCTTATCTTTTTGTTGGGAGTATAAATACCCCAGACTTTATTTTATTTCAGGATCTAGCATTCCTTATTAGACCTAGTTTTCTCTATAACTTCTATGTTGCTTTTGTAATTTAAAATTCAAGTTCTACTTTTGCAATCTCCATTTATTTCAAGATTTGGTATTTTTCTTTCATCCCTTATTTCTTAATTATGTTTTCTTTGATTATTTTTGCTATTAGTTATTTCAATATGTGTGAGTAGTTTTTTATATTCCAAGATCTAGGGTAGCCCAATAGTGATTGATGCATGAATTGATTCTTTAAATTCTCTAATGACAATTGTGATTATTTATGCTAAATTGATTGTGATTATGCCAATACTAGATTAAAGATAATTAGTATTGTTATTATTCCATAGTTTTAATCACAACGAGAGTTGGGTTTTAATGGATTTGAGTAGATCAATTTAGGGTTTGAGATTCATCACGAGAGTAGTTGAATTGATAATTGGGAAGCGAAGTAAAGTGTTTAATGTCTCTAATTTGCATGATTCCATGAGAATATGCTTGATTGTGGTTAGAGAAGCCATTGATACTCGAGAGAGGTCCTTGGTATTGATTAGGGTTTGCTTTTCCCCATGTTAATTGGATTTGTATGCTAGGGGTAGATAGATAATTGCATCGATCGTAATTGTGGTGATACTTGATCTTGGATGTTTTAGTTCATTTATTTATCACATTCTTTAGATTTATTGAGTTCTTTATATATTAGTTCTTAGAATATTTCACCATTGATTGTTACTTGCTTAGTGATTATTTGAGTGTATTTAATTAGGTGAACCTTAGTCTCTTGGGATTCGATCCTTACTTGCCCGTCTACATAGTAGTGGTCTTGTTAGGTTATTTTTGTTAGGTACGCGACACGCCTATCACAATTTTATCGAAACCAATCCTTTCTTCCCCTTACACCTCGTTTTCAAAGTATGAAATAGCTCCAGAGCAACTAAAGCATTGTCTGTAATTAATCGACCCAGATCAAATGAACTCTGATTTTCTGAAACTACTCCAAGGAGAATATTCTTAAGCCGCATTACAATAGCTTTAGAGGCTATTTTATACAAAACATTACACAGAGCAATTGGTCTAAATTCAACCATTGAGGTAGGGGAATTAGTTTTCGGGATAAGAACAATGTTAGTACTATTTACAGAGCTAATAGAGTCATTTTCCGTGTAAGATATGACTAAAAAAATGAGAGACATCACCAATATGCCAAAATTTTTGAAAAAATATAGCATGCATACCATCTGGTCTCGGAGTTTTACAAGGGTGCATTTGATTGAGGGCTGCAAAGATTTCCTCCTTCAAAAATGGACGAAGCAATTCATCATTAATGTCCGGAGAAATAACAGAATCCACCGCACTGAGGACCTGTTCACACGCCTCCTAAGATGGCGTTCTGGCTATAAAGAGTTGATGATAAATATTTTGTACAATTTCTTCAAGCTGATCTTCATCTTCCCTCCAAACCCCATTGCTATCAAAAAGACCCTTGATCTCATTCTTCTTTTTGCGTTGCGAGGCTTTGTGATGGAAATACTTCGTATTCCTATCTCCATCTTTAATTTTGGACGCCCTAGAACGCAAATACCATTAAGACTCGTGTTTGTCTAGCAGCTCTTCTAACCGCCTGTCAAGCTCATTACACCTCACAATAGAATCATACCAAACCTCCTTACCTTGCGCAATTTTTAACTCCCCTTTGAGGTCACTCACTTGCTTACTTAAATTCTAGAATTTTTTGCCACTCCAAATTTTCAGATTACCCGACACTTTTTTGATTCGGTCAGTGATCCAGTTCCCAGCCCCCTCCAAGCACACCATACCACCTCTTCACACTCTTTCTCCAATAACCAGCAAGTCCAAAGCGAAAACATCTTTTTTTTTTCTTTTTCTTCCTATGCTCTCCAATTCTGAGGAAAATCGGAGAGTGATCGGACTAGACCCGAACTAAGTTCTCAACATAAGCTCCAGGATGATTATTGAACCACAGATCATTGGCA